TGGATCTAGACCAATATAACCCACATTGTGTATGAAATATCCCACACTATTTAGATAGAAAGGGAGCAAAATCGAACAGTAATTCTAGAATTAAAGCAAATAACATTTACTAGTGAAATTGATAAGAAAAAAAATATATATAACCCCCAATATTTATGAGATATAACAAAATAAACACTATTTATTGATCTAGAACAATATAACCAACAATAATTATGGATTTGAACAAAAATAACACAAAATATTGGTTGAACTATGCCAAAGTTATACATGAAATTGAAGAAAAGTAGGAAACACGCAGAATTTTAGTTTCGGAAAAAATTGAGTAGTTATCAAACTGTAGTATGAAGAAAATTAATCATTTTGTAGTGTTTTCTAAGTAAGAATTGATAGGTCTATAGAATCACGAACATACAAACATACATATTACTGTATTCTCGAAGTGAGAATTTAACAAGCATTTGAGTTTAGTACCTCTTGTTCATCTAGAATTTGTTGTTCTTCTGAGGTTTTGATTGCAGATTATTCTACCATTGATGTGTAGATTCTTGTTGAAATTTGGAATTGAAGTTGAAATTGGATTTTACGGAATGGATTTTTGTTTATGGAATTCAAATTTGGTTCTATTTCTACTTTGTAGGAGTGGTTGGTGTATCATTAATGGCGGTGGAGGTGCTGATAGAATGTTTTAACCGTTTTTTTTGTAACGGGTCTAGGTTAGGCTCCATTAGGGGCAATTTTGGAATAACAATTTTTTATGTGGGTTGGGCTTTTAATTGAACTAGTGTTTTCAGTTTTTGTATGGTCTGATGTATTGATAATTTGTCCTTATGGTTAAAACTTAAGCCTTTTTATTAAATAATAGTTTAGGATGATTTTTGTTTGCTCACGGTAATTGTGGCCTCTCGGGTGTCACATTTTATTCGATCTTGAGTACCAGAGTTGTTCTAAAATGACTTGACTCGCTCACCGTAAAATCTATATTTAGTGGTGAGGTGAGGACCATTGCCTGTTGAGGACTTCCGACTTGGATTACTAGTTTCTCATTCACCTGCGAACAACTATAGGGATAGATAAAGGTGGGATACCAAAGAGAGATCGTACTTTTCAAAGTTTATCTTTCAGCTTTCACCACTCGAACACTTCCTTAAGAAAGATTGGAATGAATTCTGATTAGGGAAGCCGGCACGCACTGGGGACAGCTAACAACGTGTAGTGACTGTACCACTCTCTTTGACTCACATCGGGCACTCCACTATCATGATTTAAGGAAGTAGGCTAGCTAGTGCTATCTATATATATATATATATATATATATATATATATTGAGTTCTGTAAGCTTTTAAGTAAATACAAGGTGCTCCACTTATAGAATATTAAGTAATTAATTTGTGAAGAAGGAAGGTTAGCTTAAAAGAAGTCATTCATTGGCGAGGAAGATTGGTCTCTTAATTATTACAATATCGGGGAACCCCATTATATATTTTATTCCGTCAAGATATGTTTGCAAGTGAAATAATTGTCTCTTCAACACAGCCACATCCCTTTTCGGAAGATAGTTAAGTCTCTCCGTCTTTTGTTCTATTCTCAAGTCCCTGAACTTATGAAATCTCATTTCTGTAGTATAGCAATTCGTTAACATACCACCGAGCCCTTTTTTATTAACATAATGACACAAGCCTATATTGCAGCCCGTGCTACTGAATTAGTTGCTTTATTTTTTGTACCAACAATTAAGTTTTCCCCTACTTGCTGCATTAAAAATTAAATCACAAGCTTCTGATAAAAACCGAGCAATTCTAGTAAGATTTGTAATATGAATGGCTTTACACTTTGCAGAGATATAAGGTGCCATTCTAGGATTCCATTTCCAAGTACCATGACCAAAATGAACTTATGCTTCCATCATCTCCTCCAAATTGATGTTCCAATATCTTCTTGTCATTTCTCCCCACACTTCTTTTCTTCTCATAACTTTCAAGAACTCATATATACTAAGACCAAAGTCTTATCCATTTATAGATGGAACTTCAACACAAGCTAGGTCTAGAGGGAAATTATGAGCATTATGTTCATGTACAAAAGTAACACGACGAAAATGGAAAGAAAACGAAACGGACAATCTTTTTTTTTTTTTTTGTATTATATTTTTTTTATTGTATCATGGTTAAATGAACATTAGCTCAATCCCTTTTCGTTAACGGACCCTACAAAAACCAAGATAAAAAACCAAGATACTTATTTTGTGTATTGTACTATATGAATATCTTAATTCCCAACCTTTGCTATGTATGTAACATATTCTACCAACACCTATCTTTTAATTTTACTGAACAAAAGAATCTCATAGGTTTTAATACAGATGTAAATATATATTAGGCTTAAAGACCAATTGTAAATATATATTAGGCTTAAAGATTAAAAAATAAAAAAATAAGTTGTTTTAATACAGATGTAAATATATATTAGGTTTCAATAACTACGTTGAGATATTGTCCTTCTTGGATAAAGACCAATTGGAACCTGGGTGTGCGATTTTGGGGATGAGATTTTTTGCAAAATGTGGAGGTGAAAAGGGTGGAGGAGAGAGAAGGGAGGGGAGGTGAAAAGGACGGAGGTGGGTCGGGTATAGAGGATTGGGTGGGTGCAGAGGAGAGAAAGGAGGGAGGGGGTCGTGGGGGTGAGGAGCAGCCCAGAAAAAAAAAATATTTGTTTTGGAGCCGGATAGCTAGGGCTAGAAGAGGGGAAACAATTTATTTTTTTATTTTTTAATCTTTTAATATTTACGTGGGCTCATAAAGACACATGGCATCCAATTATTGTCAACGTGGGTGCCAGGTCATCAGTTAACAGAGGTTTTGACGGAAAACTTAACGGATGTATAAAAGTATCCTATAATTAAAACTTTAGGTGACACACCTCGATTGAGATCAGGGCATGCTGGCCGTCACGTGGAAGTGACGTAACCATATGCACAGTGCGAAAGCTAAGAAAATAGTAATGCAAATAGTACGAATAAATAAAAACTAGCATACATAAGGTAATAGAACAAGTGCTAGCGTAAGTGAGACACGAGTTCAGGGCAATAAGCCTAAAGCAGTCCAAAAGAAAACGACGCAATAAAAGTACACCCGAAGGTGGTCCTACGCTGGTGATCCTCTGTCAGATATGCCGGAAAAGCCCTCTGGGAAACCACCAAATGTGCTAGCCAACTAGAACCTGGAGGGGCGCAAAACAAAAGCGTGAGTGGGCAAAAACAAAGCTTTTCAAAAACCAATTTAATAAATAAGTTCTAACCCCTCGCTGTAAAACCTGTATACTTCCCAGAAAATAGTATATATATATCCTGCTCGAAAAACGTGCCATGTGATATGCCTCTAAGTATTATGCAATTGCTCAAGAGTATGCCATACCAAGACCTCAAATAAAATGTAAGTGCTCAGGTAATATCACATCCAAATCATATAAATTGTTAGCCGGAGTCACCTAACGTGACCTGTACGGCTGAATCTAGAGCTCAAATCTCAATCACACTATCTATACCTGCACACGAGTCGGAACCACCTAAAGTGGTCTGTACGACAGGCCTGGGTGTAATATAAGTACGCTCTAGTGCTACGATCACGTGAAAACGAAGGCATTCTTACCTGAAATGAGTATGGTGAGACTCCTACAAGCCTCACGAGTCTGAATATGTGCTTGGATTCTCCAATCTGTGGAGGTTCGATGGGTGTGTGGGTGTGTCCGTACGTTTCAAAGGAAAATGGGAAGGGAATGGGGACTCGGGACAGTGTGCAGGAAACAGGAGGAAAGGTTGTGGTGTGTGGGAAAGTGTGTGGCCTACAACATGCCAACCAAACTCAAAAACAACCAATAAACATAAAGAAATCGAACTAGGGGCAATTTTGTCTTTTCACACGTACGTTGTAATATTTCTGGGATGGGCTGTCACATTAGGTATCAAACTGGGACGAAAAAACTTTATATACTAAATGTTGAAAATCAAGAAACTTCAGAGTAATAAACTGATATTAAACTTATTCATTAAGATATTTCACATGTGTTAATTAAAATTTCCAGCATCGCCCGAGCTGATTTGCTGGTTTCCTTAACTCAAGAAGTTTAGGCTTTTGTTTCTTCATTTCCCTTCTGAAATAATTGGAGGGAGGTGGGAAAGACAGAGAAAAGAAGAGATACTTTTGGTCAAATTGGCCTAAAGGACACAATTTTTAACTTTCTTTTTCAGAAAACACGTAACTTTTTGACTTTTTTTCCATACAGGACTGTTAAACTTTTTGACTATCAAGAAAAGCAACCTTGTTTGGACGTCCACAAATTTTAAGCGACATCCCAATGTAATGACATGATGTGAAACATGAATTCTTAAATCTATGGAGTGACTGGGATTATTTAGTTGATATAAAACCGAACCGATTCAAACTATGCTTATTCTTGAGCTAAATGAAAATAGTTCAAAATGAAAATAGTCACCCAAAATAGAGTGCTCAAGGCTTGAAAAAGAGAAATTATATGGTCCGACAACCAAATCATGGTGTCATTGCAGACTAAGACTCAAACAAACCTCATACCCAGCTTTCTTTGATTTTGAGACCCATATTTACACCAATAATCCCACCCTTTCTTTCACATTTACTCCAATCAAATTTCCCTAACACGAATCTCTCCTTGAAACGCATAATACCTCTGCACATCAAGAGAAAAAGCATCACCTAAAAGCGGTTTCGAATTTTGTTACATTCCCCTCTAATTTGAAAAGGGTTTATCTTGGGTTTTGGCCCCCTAAACATTCCCATAGATTCCTCCCTCCTTTTCCCATATCTCTTTTTTTCATCTCTCACAAACCAATCAATCCCATTATTTATTCACATACCTCCGCACACACACACCCAACAACGCCCCCGCCCACTTTTTACTAGTCTCTTCTAAACCCTAGATATCTTTTCATCTCTTGGATTCAAAAAACTTGACACAAACTACAGCTTTCACCTATGGAGCAGCTGCAACCACCACCCATGGCAATGACGCAGCAAGCCTACACTACCCATTCGGGTCACGGGTCGGTGGGACCCGTTATTGCAGTGGTTGCAGTGATCACCATTCTCGGAGTCATTGCGGTCATGATTGGTAGGCTCTGCTCCGGTCATCGGATCATGGGCCATGGGCGACACTACAACTTCGAATCATGGGTGGAGACAAAATGTTCTTCGTGTCTTGACGGCAGAATCGACCCTTCTCCACCGCCTCCACCACCGGTCACTGTCTCCGGCGAGGATGTCGCCCTGGCAGAGAGGGCAGACGCATCGCAAGAAATAAAGGAAGAAGAAGAAGAAAAAGAAGAACCCCAACAACATCAGCAGCAGCAACATCAACAACAACATCCCCCGCAGCAGGAACAACATCGACGACAACATCAGCAGCGGCAACAACATCAACAGCAACAGCAACAACACAATTCCCAAGCAGCAAGTAGTAGTGAGTCTTAATTATTGACAAAAAAAAAAATGAATTAGGAAGGAGCTGCTTAATTTATTCTTGAGTTGGGATGCGTTAAAATTTTTATTTGGTAGTGAATTTTCCTTATCCGACGTCTAATTATATGTTTAGTTGGGCTTTTTTCCTTTCAAATTTTTATTATATTTCTTGCCTTTACCATATTTTGGTGGGATGTATTCCATGATGGTTCATGACTCATGATAACATGAGGCAATCAAATTGAAATCGGTGGGGCATTTATTTTATTTTTTATGTATGGATCTTTAACTCTGTTAAATATATATCTTTGACAAGCAGTGGACAGTTACAGCATTCCCCCTTAAATCTAGAGAGCTGTTATTCCAAACCCAATATTTTATCTTTCTATTCATCTTTTTATGAATTTTTTAATTACAAATGTGTTAATTTGTAAAATGATTAATAAGGACCTTAGTTACCCCTTTTTGCATTACTTTTTATTTTTATAAAAAATAAAAAAGAAAAGTTTGGGCGTGATAACTTTTACGCCATGTTTAGATGTCCCTTAAACCCTCGCTCATCCTTCCCATCTTCTTTCATTCAGAGAAAGCAAAAATAATGAACTTAGAAGATGATGTTTCTATGGAAGAAGTAGATGATTATATTTCCGTCGAAGAGGTAAAAGATAATTTTATATGGGTTATCTTGATTTGTCGACATCGTATAATTGAAGCATAGCTCTGTGACTTTCTCTCTCTCTCTCTCTCTCTATATATATTAAGGGTTATTTTAGGAATAATAGTAGGTGGGAAAATAACATTTTAATTTTTTAACTTTTTATAGTGGGTGTAAATATAACGTGGGTGGGAAAATAAGACAATGGGATAGGTCTATCAGCTCTCTAAATCTATTGTGTTCCGGTTTTAAACCTTCTCCCACCCCTTAAAGTCATTTAGAATAAAAATATCCCTTTTATTAAAAAATTATATAGTTTTAATATTATTTTTTTCCCCACCATGGTTATGAATATGAAGATAATGGAATAGTGGTGAAAAATAGAAAAATTTATAAATCTGAATTATGGATACGTTTTAAATAGTTTGAGCTTTGGTTGATCATTCTATATTTGGATATCTTTCATTATTTTTTTTAATACATTTGATATCATCTATACTAAATGATGAGGAGTGGCAAGTAGCCCCCTACCACAATGGTGGAAGAGGAGTGTTCCCTTGCAATACGGCATGTGTTGGAACCCTGTCGGCTTCTTAATATAACATCTAATCTAACAAATCTATCGTTTGGAAAAAAACAATTATAAAAAATAAAAAATAAAAGAAAAATAAAAAGAAGAAGAAGAAGAAGGACTAGGAGTGGGGCTAAACTTCAAATTGAGCTAGCCATAATAATTTGGTTCGAATTCGCTTTTGGCGAGAATTGAATATAAGACCTCTCACAGCATCTTCAAAAGAGTAAAAAAGTTTACATCAGCAATAACGGTTAAAAAAAAAAGACAATATTAATATTTTCCAATTGAAATATCAATTCCTATGTGGCACGATGTGGATTATTAAATACCTTTTGGCGAGAATTAAATCTAAGACCTCTCACAGCATCTTCAAAAGAGTAAAAAGGTTTACATCAGCAATAACGGTTTAAAAAAAAAAGAAGACAATATTAATATTTTCTAATTGAAATATCAATTCCTATGTGGCACGATGTGGATTATTAAATACCAATACCAAATTTGGCAGCAACTTAAAGTCTATTTTTGGTAATTATTAAATGCTTTTTGTCATTTTTATTAATATTTCTTGCTTTAAAAATACTTATTACAATTATGAAAAATAAATAATGTAATAATTAATAGTTTAAATTTGACATATCAGGTGGAGAACAAAATAAAGAAAATCAAAAATCTAAATGCAACGTAAGCCTTCAAATTTAATATTTAAGTTTAAAATTTGACATTTCATTTAGAGATAATATCATGCTCTCATCCTTATTCTTGGCTTCTTGTGATGTGGTCCATGACTTTATATTAAGGGTTCATTTCAATACCCCTTGCATTTTTAGATTTCATATTTTTGAAAGCTAAAAAACTAAAAAATTGAAAATCCATTTAGTAAACACTTTTAGTTTTTAGTATAAAAAATAAAAACTGAAAACCAAGTTTCTAAAAGACATGAGGCACTAGTCGGGCGGCAAGTTGGGGCCTAGCACCTAGGCGGGCTAGATGGATTTAAGTAAATTTATTGTATTTCGTGTAAATAAGTGTTTGTTTATACTTAAAAATATATATAAATTCATCATAAACTACAAAATAGAATGACATATATATTAGGAAGTATTGGAACAATGAAAACATGGGGAGCAAGCATATAATGTGTGTTCATTTAGTATTTAACAAGTCTCTTACAATTTATTGAAAAAAAATAAAACGAAAAATGGAAGTTATCTATTTTCTATCTAAGTGAGTTGCAACCAAGGCGAGTCTGGGCAGATGCCTAGGTAGTCTAGACGGGCACCTCAGCAGATCTAGGCACCCTTTCTCAAATTTCAAATACTTAATCATTAATCGGGACAGTGGCTAGCCGCCTAGCGATACCTAGAACAGTGTTGAAAACTCATAGCCAAATTTTATATACTAAAAAAAGTAGTTTTCACTTTTTATTTTTTAGTTTTTAATTCTCCTTTTTTTTAAAATTAAAAATTGAAAGTAGTTACCAACGAATTTTCAGTTTTTAATGCAAGTAAAAATTAATAACATATGTGTGACATCCCACATCGCCCAAGGGAGTGGTCCTTATATGTATATTTTCATCTCTACCTAGCACAAGGCCTTTTGGGAGCTCACTGGCTTCGGGTTCCGTTGGAACTCCGAAGTTAAGCGAGTAGCGCATGAGAGCACTCCCATGATGGGTGACCCACTGGGAAGTTCTCGTGTGAGTTCCCAAAAACAAAACCGTGAGGGTGTGCTAGTGACCCAAAGCGGACAATATCGTGTTACGGTGGAGTCGGGCCCGGGAAATGGTCCCGCCCGGGCCGGGATGTGACAATATGTTTATCAGAATACTCTTAAAATAATTAACATTTTTTTAATCATATAGCACAACTAGGATTTGGGGTTTATGTCAGTTTTGGTCTTTTCTGTCAAAAGTAAAGGAGTGTTAATGCTCAAATTTAGGAGGTTAACAAAGACCAATGTGGTCAGCCCAAGATGGGCTCGGGATTGAAATAATAAGAACTTAACAACGGGACTTAAGTGGTTTACCCTTAATACTGGGCTATGTCAATTGTGGTGCTAAGATATATTGAATAAAGGTTACACTAGGCGCTCAATATAATCTAGTCTCTCTTTTTATTTAGACCCGTTATAAGGAATATTTGTCCTTCTTATATAGGCTCTCATTGAGCCTCAAGAGTCTAGAATCGAGTTTTCCACTGCATTTGCATTTGATGAACCAAGCACGTTGGCATGACCTACTAGATGCCCTTCCATTTTTTAGTCAACACGTGGTGACAAAGTGACACTCGTTCATATCCACTTGCATATTTTCTTTGGTTAACACGTACTAAGCACCTTTCTTGGCCCTAGGGTTGGTGGAAACCCAAGCCCGAGGGTTTGATCTGTCAGTCTTTATGTCCCTTCATAAGCTTTTGCTCTCACTAATGGCCACCACATGACCTGGGGGTTGCCACCCACGTAGGCCTGCCCCTAGAACTTCGTGCTCAAAAGTTGTTAGTAATGCCAACTTACTTTCAGCAGTCAAGAAGTACTTTATGGGGAAATGCTCGAGTTTACTACTAGCAAGCAAACTAGATCGTTAAGTGGCCGTCCATAACGCTCGGGATTGTCCTTCCCAGTTCTGTTGGGCCTTGGTCTTCTCTCCTTTGGGCCTGTGTCTTTCTTTCTCATTTGAGCCTTTGTCTTCCTTTCTCCTTTGGGCTTTTATCTTCCTTCAAGCATGTACTATTTTAGGGACCAAAAAGGACCCTATGTTAACAAAGAGAAATAATGAATTAAACAAACAAGTTTTGATCTTCTGTTGTGATTGATAAACAAAAAATGTTACAGTGGTATACAAATGAGAGATAATCTTTACTAGAGATTGAAGTGGAGCTAGATGATAGATCTCTTTGTTTATTTTCTATGTCAGAGTAGGGTAGGAAATGAGGGACAATAACTTTGAAGAAAGTTGTGATATTATTAGATTATATATATATTGTTTTTACACTTCTTACTATTTTATTCACCTTCTTCACTATGTTGGTCATCCATATTCTTAGATTTGACAACCGTGTTGTGTTTGTTGCATCTGTGTCATATCTTAGTAGATCATGTTCGTGTCAACCCCGTTAAAGTGAACAGGTAATATGACCCGATTCGAACTCAACCAGTTAAAAACAAATGCAAAACGTCCTACTAAATTAGTATCTACACGTTGTCACTAAATTAGTGTCTCAATACCCGAAACACTAAACCCTAACCCTAAGGCTTGGTTTGGTATTGCTGTGCTTTGAAAAAAAGCTGCTGTGAGAATAAGCGGCTGTGCTGTGAGAATAAGCGGCTGTGAAATAAAGCCAGCAAAGTGTTTGGTAAACTTTTTTGTAAAAGTGCTTTTGGAAAAAAAAAGCAGTATCATAGTGTTTGGTAAACTTTTTTGTAAAACAGCTGTGACTGTGTGAAATGACCAAAAAGGGTATATTACTAGATGTGCTATTAATTTAATTTTCTTAACAAATAAAAGTGAATTACTAAATATATTTTATTTTTAAAAGAAAAATATTTATAAACTTTATCTTAAATATTAATTAGTATGACAAACTACTTTAATAGAAATATTTTAGAGTGAATAGCTAGGATTCATTAGTACAATATTGTTAATGTACTTGAAAGTAGTCTAATTAGATTATCATGTGCAGTGCCTTCCCATCCGTATCAACCAGTATGTCAAGTGCGAATTTTATCAACCCTTGTATCAACCAGTATTCATCAACCCCAATCGTAATAAATGTGCGAATTTTATTG